TGAGTTTGGTAATTTATGAAATCTTATAGCACAAATAAGGCAATTCATAATGAGCTACACCAGTCTAGGCCACATGAAACATAGATATACTTTTTATTAAGTTTTGTAATTGCTTTTCCTTTTATTAATATTCCCAATTACTATATATGAATTATATATAATAATAGTACGGAGTAGTAGTTTTATTTATGAAAATTGATGCCCCCATATGATAGTGGTTCCCTAGGCATATGCCTGGGCAGGGGTGGAGCCAGGGCACTGGGTCGGACTGTACCGATACAAAGAATTTTTTTGAAAAAAAAATTATCCGGAATTTTTTACATTAAAAATAAAGACATTTTTTAAATTTGGGCTAGACCAGGGCCAAGGTTGGCCCTCCTCTATCTCAGCTCCTGTGCGTAGGTGCCTCCCCACTAATGCCGGCCTTGATGACATACATTCCTTTTTTATAAGTTTTTCATTATTCAACTCATTTCTATATTTGATAGTGTCTATTGACTATTGTCTACCGTAACTACTATTTATATTGTACGGACTATTTCATAGTTCATACTTCTAATTTTATCTCCTAGTTTTAATCTTACGAATGAGAAAATATAGATTATTTTACTTTTGAAATGGGCTAAAAGTCTAGAATACTTGTAAGTTCGGAGTTCCTTCCGAGACATGCATATACTCGTAAAGTGACTTTAAGTTGGTAGCGCCTTGACTATTGAAAGAGAAAGAATGACTAAAGAAACATTCTGTCTTTCGACAAAAGACTATATATACATGCCACTGGATCTATGTGTTTTTCACCCATACATCATCCCATCTATTTAGTTAGTACATTTTTTGTACTTCATTTGTACTAGAAATTGATAAGCTCCCCAGCCCGGGTACTTAACAATATCCATATATAAAGCAATGTACGCTTCTTCTTCCTCTTCTTCGTCGTCTATTTTTCCATCTTGCTCAACAATAAGAGCAAGAAACGTGATCGCGACAATTGCCATTGTTATCCTCTTGTCGAGTAGCTCTTATGCGAAGCTTTCCTCTAATTTCTACACCATACATGTCCCAAGTTGTTCAGTACTGTAAAAGGAGCTGTTGAATCTGCCATAAAGAATGAAACCCGTATGGGAGCTTCGCTACTTCGCCTCCATTTCCATGATTGCTTTATTCAAGTAATATTTTCGATTCAATTCAATATTTGCAAAAAACAACATAAGATTATGAAAGTGGGTCATTCAAATTGAATTTACCGTTGAAGTATTTCTTTTGATGCAAATGGAAAGTATTTTGGAATATCGAAATAAGGAATGTGGGATATTATTTTGCAACGGTAGTAGACTAGTAGTATGCCACTAGTAGTATGTAAGATCACGGGCTACTCCCATCCAAGTGATCAGAGGACCTATTTTGGAGATCAGAATGAGAGAAGTGGAGAACTTTAAATTCCCCTCAGTAAGAATTTACTGAGCACACACGTCTCACTAAATTCGTAATAATACACTAACATACTACGTATATAGTGATTGTAATTTCAAGAGAGAAGTAGAGAACTTTAAATTCCTTATTATTTTCTGTCACTCCTCGGCCCGGGCAAATAATGGGCAACAGACAATATTTTGAGAGAAGCTGTATATTTATTGACTAAAAGTGTGTTGATTTTCCTTAAAAAGATTTAATTGTACCAAATCACAATGGTCTATGTTGTTTCTCACATTATATTTCTTTAAAACAATTAAAAACTATATTAAGATCTTGGTTATTACTTCTATCAGGTCGACTTTTTAGGATAGAACCACATATCTAAACATGATCGATCTATAATCATGTTGTAGGACCTATAAAAATGACGATACAATTATGAAAAATGACAATGACGAACCAAAAAAAATGAATGACAATACGATTGAGACGTTGTTGTCCCACACCAGGTATCTAAACTTTGAAGAATTTTGATGGGTGAAATAAAGTACGAAATTAAATTAATTAAATAGAGCTATGTTTAATTTAGAGAATAAAATAATACTCTGTATTATACAGTACGTACTGCTTACTCGGTATTACTCATTAGGTAAAGTTTATTCCAATGATGACTTATTAGTCTTCTCATTTGGATTTCTAATTAAATATACAGTTATGAAATACAAATGTTGAACATAAACCTAAGTGTCTAACCTCTTGTGTTATACATATATCCGTTTTTGTGTAAAAAATCATTATCACATAATCAATAATGAAATAATTACATAAATATGATCAAAATAAAGATGATTTACAAAAATATGATTAGTTACTAGAGTAGTAATGAAATCATAGTAATTCATGTTCAAGTTTTGAACTTTAGTTACTACAACACTATGTTGTAGTAATGAATAGTCATATTTATGTAAATAACTTTTATTTTAGTAATATTCTTATAAAAAACCCAATCATAATTAAGTTAGATCACTTTGCGAATGCAATCAGAAATTCGGTTATTCAGAGGCACAACTAGAAAAAAGACTAACGCTATGTTTGGTACAAAGAGCTGAAAAAAATGCTTGGATAATCTGAAATTACATTAAAGGCCATACAATTTAGTTAATAGAACAAAATAATTAGATAACAAATTAGAAATAAAATACCACCGTTGTATTAGAAATAAAATTAGAAAAGGAATTAGAAACATTAGAAAAACAATTAGTCAAATCTGGTACTATGTTTAATTTGCGTGAAAACAAATTAGAAAAGGGTATTTAACAATATTAGAAATATAAATATAAATGTTCAAAACTTCATGACTCAAAGAAAATTAAATATCGATGCAAAACTCTCCTTCCACGAAGGAGGTTATTTGTTTAGCAAATGAAGAGCAAAAGAGAAGAAGGCATGTGCAGGCTAGGGTTATTTAAGGAAACAAAGTCTAACTTAGAGATGACTGAAGACAGACGCTTGGATGGGTAACATTTTAATCCAGCCTTTCTTTTTCCACTTAAGCTTAGGGTTGGTTTGCAACTCCTTTTAAAAAAAGCACTTCTCAGCTTTTGGCTTTAAAAAAACACTTATTTTCCCAAACACTACAACTTTTATTTTTCTCGGCTTCCGCGTCAAAAGTGCTTTTACTTTTTCTATTACACAAAAAGCACTTATTTTACCAAACACTACCCACTTTTACTTTACAAAATCACTTTTTTCCCAAACACTATCAACTTTTATTTAATCACTTCTCCTCATTTCATTAAAAAAAGCACTTTTTTAAAAGCAGAAGCTATTGCAAACAGACCCTTAGTGTAGCCCATTAGCCAAAAAGGGTTGTTTTTTCATTATTGACTGAATTAATAAAATTTCAGCCCATTATGAGCTGAAATGGTGTGCCAAACATAGCCTAATTCTGAGTGAGCCGGAACAATCATTCATGTACCCAAAAATATAATTACTCTCCCGCCAGTGCTGGAAGCTCTCGGGATGGGGGATGAGTTGTCATTTTTTTAAAAAAAAAAATTGGGTTGACCCGTATTTGGAATTGTGCTCCGATCCATCTACTACCCTATGTCCTAGGTCTAGAAATGACAATTGTGACTGATTCGATGGATAGCTGTACTGAACGCCCCGGTCAAAACGGGGATAACCGCATTGACCGGGTAACGGGTACGGGGCGGGGAATACCTGTTTTGTTTTTATGGGTAACGGATCAGTTACGATTTTATACATGCCCGCCCCATTACCCGCCTCGTACCCGCCCTGTTTATTTTTAGTTATATTTTTATTACATTCTTATCTAACTATAATGTATAATGAAAGTTTATAATAGATCTTAATAGTCTTGTTTGATTATTATCAGACTTTTTTGCAATTAATTATTTTTTATATCAAGTATTTTTAGGTTCAAATTAATTTAGGTTGTCTTCTTTCTCATCTTGCAGATATTCAATACTTTAAACTGAAGTCTGAGACTAGAGTCGTCTAGGTGATGTCACTTTTCACCTTTTACAATATTATTTTTATACTCAAATACCAATGACTCATTTAATAAAGTGATTCTCGCGGTTAACCGCGATCATACCTGTTATCCGTTGGGGCGATTATGGGTTGGATAAAAATTACTCGTTGAATAATGATGGGGCAGTTATGGGGCGGGGGAATTACCAAACGGGGTGGGGACAACTATATGTAAAATCGTCCCCGATTTGTCCCGTTGACATTTCTTCCTAGGTCCAATATATGTTATGCATGTTCATCGATAATAAATTAATAAATAAAATATAATCAAAGTAGAATATGTAAATAGTGCAAAAAATCCAACGTTGCAATTAAACGGAGGTAGTATATATGCCCCTGCCGGCCACCGCAATACGTGTTACTCCCTCCGTCCTAAAACCAACTTCCCACTTTCCTTAAATGGCTGTCCCTAAATTAACTTCACATTTCAACACTTTCTTTATTTGGCAAATTATCTACATCAAAACAGTGTCAAACAGTGTTTGAACAGTGCAAAACAGTGCACCCAATAATAAAGTCAAATTTATTTTCTTAATCTGTGTGATTGTCAATTTGTGAAGTTGTTTTTGGGACGGAGGGAGTATTTTTTGGATCCTATCCGTTATCGTGGTTGACTGCTTTCTAAGTACTTATAAGATTTAAGATGCATGCATCATCCATTGATACATTATTAAGTTATCAGGTTAAGTAGAGTTGACTTTATGAGATAAATATATAAAGCAGTTTAGTAATTAACAACATTTGGCTAAGCCTAAGCTAGTGAAATATGGCTTTAGATCAGACATGTATAATTATGTTTATTCGATTAAAAAAAATTGTTTAAGATTAATTTGGTTAGTGATGCATATTGATTATTATTGCTATTATTATATACTAGTATATTTGGGTAGTTATATATTAGAAAGGTGTCAAGCGAGAAATCCTCATTTCAGTTCCAGGACGTTGGTTGAAAGTTTAAAGTTTGATTAGCAAAAAAAAAAATTAAAAAGGTGTAAGGGTTTGTGATGATCTGATATTTTCTTTTTCTGCAGGGATGCGATGCATCCATTCTGTTGGACGACATACCTGGTAAATTTACAGGAGAAAAAACAGCTGTGATTAACAACCATTCCGCAAGGGGATTCAATTACATCAATGAAATCAAATTGGCAGTGGAGAAAGTGTGCCCCGGTGTGGTGTCTTGTGCAGATATTATTGCCATTGCTGCTCGTGACTCTGTCGCTCAAGTAATTATCATATTCCATGGTTTATCTCATGTCTTCAATAAGATCGATGTTTGTTTACATTGGAGTGTATCTACAAATCAGCAATAAGTGATAGTATACAAGATTTTTTATTTAGGGTCTGTTTGCAACCGCTTTTGCTTTAAAAAAGTGTTAATTTTAATGAAACGGGGAGAAGTGATTAAATAAAAGTTGATAGTGTTTGAGAAAAAAAGAGATTTTGAAAAGTAAAATTTGGTAGTGTTTTGTAAAATAAGTGCTTTTTGTGTAATAGAAAAAGTAAAAGCACGTTTGACACGAAAGCCGAGAAAAATAAAAGTTGGTAGTGTTTGGAAAAGTAAGTGCTTTTAAGCCAAACGCTGATAAGTGTTTTTTTAAAGCATTTGCAAACCAACGCTTAGTGTGCTGAACATACAGATTGAATTGAGTAATATACTATATCAATTTAATTAAAACTATTACTGTGTTTTATTGTCAATCAAATAATGTTTTTATTAACATATTTTTTTTGAAGCTAAGAGTCGTTCAATCCATAACCAATTTCAAAAATAGGTTAGATAAATGTCTTAATGGGAAAGGCTACTATACTACTTTGTTCGCCCCATTTTACTTGTCCTATTTTCCTTTTTGAGTTGTCCCATAATTAGTGGCTCCTTTCCTTTTTTGGAAAGAAATATGTGGTCTACACCATTTCACTTTATTAAACTCAAATCTCAATCACAATTTTTACTTTTTCAACCATTTCATTAATAATCGTGTCGAGTCAAACTAAGACACATAAAATGGGACGGAGGTAGTATAACTTAGTGATTAAATCAGTATTTAAACTGAATGAATAAGTCCTTCTTTCAATGAATTTGTGGAAAAGATGATTGAATTATTGAATAACTAATTGGTCATTCTAATTAAGTTCATTAAGTCACAAGTTAACAACAGAATGTTTTCACTAATTATATAAATTCATACGTAGTACGAAGTATTAGATTATTCAATAGTAAAATATACTTAATGCGGACATTTTATTGTTACTACCAATTCAAATCAATTGATACTTCGATCAAAATGAGAAAATTTTAATCCAAATAAGAATATCCTAAAAGTAATTAACTGTTCCGATATGATCACCCCGATACGCATACAGTGCATACTAGTCATTTTTCATTTAACTTCATGTTTATATATGTGTGCGCGCAATGTTTATACTTATGGTGTGATGTATTCATTATAAATAAATATATGTTCTTCTCCTAAACAATTCATATATAGCTTGGAGGACCATGGTATCCAGTCCAACTTGGACGGAGAGACTCCAGAACCGCCAGCTTCAGTCTAGCCAACGGCGGTGCGGTCCCATCTATCTTTTCCAACCTTAGCGTCCTGATCGAAACCTTTGGCAACGTTGGCCTTAGCGCTACTGATACGGTTGCATTATCAGGTTCAACATATACTACTCCCTGTTTTTTCATTTATCGTACGTAGATATATTAAAGTTTCTACGTTTTCTAAATAATACTTTGCATGTCTACATTCTATTATGAATAAAGTAGAAAAAGGGAAGGTGCAAAAGCACAAAATGGAATATAAAAGTAAAAAAAATCAGAATAATTGAGTAATCTGACAAAAAATATATCCCATACAAAAGTATAGCAAACAAGGGATTGTATACGAACATATTATAGAGGATCAGATATAATGTCACCAATTTTGTTTTTGTATATATCACTAACAAAACTAATACTACGTACAAGTATGTCTCACACTTCAATTCTAATTAATAAAGTACATAATTTAAAATCTCAAAACCCCATGTCTCGTCAAAGTCCCTGCTCCCTACCTTCTATCAACATGTTTGGTGGGTAAAAATCTCCTTTTAGCTTTTGCACTATTTAAAAAGTCTCTAAAAACTTCTAGTTGAATGTTTGGTATGCGATCTTTTAGAGCTTTTTAAAAATGAAAGATCTTATTTGAGATGCTACAATAAGTAGTATCTGAGAAAAGTCTAAAACTTTTAGCACTAACAAATCCCAAGAGCTTGTATACCACACAGAACTAATTCAACAGTCAGTTTTTTTTATCAAACAGCTATCACCTTTTATTTTAAGATTTTTCCAGTCATTAAAAGTTACCCCCTTCATCCTTTAAAACTTTGTCATCTTTCATTTTTTGGATGTCCCAAAAACCTTGCCACGAACTTTCCGTTTTAATCAATTAATTTGGGATTCATGTTATTTCTCTCTCCTCTGTACAAACCTCAATAACACAGTTTTTACTTTATTACGTAGTATTATTTCTGTTAGTCAAACTTGACAAAATTTTAAGGGGCGGATAGAGTAACAATTAGTTACTGAAAAATTCATAAAAATATTTTTTCAGCTAGTTGTGTCAAACATACTCATAATATCCTTAACTTAGGATGAAGAAAGAATTATATTTTGTGCATGCATGAGATCGAAATAGGTGTAGAATTACGTACCGTTTTAAATAATGAGTTGATCGGTTGATGAATTATTATCATAAAATTAAGTCTTTTTTATTAATCAGTAATGATCATTGAAGTTTATATACTCCCTCCGTCCCAATTTGTTTTGCAAAGTCAACAATTTTTGGTCAACCAATAATAAAAGTCAACCCTTCATATGGATAATTAATTCAATTTTTAATAATTAAAATTTACATATTCATAAACTACATTAAAATCTCTTTAAAGTTGTAAACTCCAAATTAGAATATAATTAAAAATTGGCATCGTAATTAAGTTAACAAAACGACACAGTTTGACTAAAAAAGTCAAATTTGCAACTCTTTTTGGGACGGAGGTAATATAATATATTGATAAACTATATTAATAAAGGGTCTATCCAATCACAACAAAACAAATTCAGACGTTCGAAGAACATGAATCCATGATACTCAATGAATCGCAGGATGAGATTATAAAAATAACCATTCCTCTACTGTACTGCGCGCGATTTTGTAGTTGCTAGAAGCTAGCCAGTAATTCGATTCTTCATCTTCTAAATGATCCTGTCGTGCCAAATTTATTTTGATCGAAATCATCCCTAGTACAGATTATTACATCATCCGTTTTGTAGCGTCCTACAAATTGCTACAGTATGATATTATTGTAATTAAGATATGCTGCAATATGATAAATTACTACAACACATCTATTTTAAACCGGTCGATGCAACATACACTACAAAAATATTGCAGAATTGAAACAGATCTGTCTCGGATTTAGTGATGATTTTGTGCCAAATAGCTGATGTCAAACTGTTTTTGTCATGGATTTGGCATATCCCTGCCAAAACCTGTGCCAATTTTGGAAACTCATGCAAAAAAATCTCTGTCAATCCCGTTTTTTGTTGTGATACACAAAATGTTACATTTCTGATAAATTGTGTCATTTTGGCACCTATTAAAACATTTTGGACATGTTACAAAAGCTACACTTTTTTATACTTAAATTCTCCTTCTCTCGTAACTAAATTTATGTATTAATGAAATTGTTAATTTTTTTTTTTTGTCTCATGAAATTATTAATTATTAAATAGGAGCACACACAATTGGAGATGCACGGTGTGTGACTTATAGGCGTCGGATTTACAACGAGACCAATATTAACGCAACATTTGCCGATGAACTGAAGAAGATTTGTCCGTTGACTCAGGGAACCGGGGACGCCAATTTGACCCATTTTGACCGTCAGTCTCCATATGTCTTCGACAACAAGTACTACGACAACCTGATGAACCAGGAAGGACTTCTTCACACCGACCAAATACTCCGCGATGGCGGGAACATAACCATTGCTTCATTGGTTGAACAGTACAGCAGAGACCAGAAAAAGTTCTTCAATGACTTTGGCGCAGCGATGATCAAGATGGGGAATATTGCGGTCTTAACCGGATCCCAAGGTGAGATCAGGAAGGATTGCACAAGAGTTAATACTCCGTAATTGATTCATTCACCATCCAAATCGCGCCCGCCTGCCCGCCCGCCCGCCCTGCTTTCATCACTCCCTTTTTTTCTTGTATTAAAAATAAAAATTGCCCTGATTATGAGTAAGAACGTTTTGAATTCCAAAATAAGATTTTTATGTTTTTATTCCCTAAGTTGGAGTTATTTCTCAAGATTGGAAGAACCTGGCAGAATTGACATGTTTAGAATCTCACAATGCCAGACTTGGCAGAAATTAATTACTCCTACCTGTTTAGATAATAAAAACGTGACAGTCTAATTTTGGAATTTCAAAATCTTTTTAATCTTATTTAGGGAATTTTCCATATTAAGGACCTCGAGTCATTGGGTTTATCCATTTTGTTTGGTCATTTACGTACACTGCTAGTTGCTTGCTGCTTGTTTGTTTCTTGATTCTAGCTGCGCTGTTATTGTCGTCAACCATTTTATGTGGTTTTGTTGGTTAATTCATCTTTGGCCCGCCAGATATATATTTGGTTTTACTGGTTTCCCACATGAAATTATGCTGACATTTTATTGCTAAACAGCTAAAAGGTTCACTTTTATAACAACACTATTTGTTTTATCCGACTCAAACTTCAGATAAAACCCATACGTATTCGACGTATAGTAACCTTTGTTGTATAATTTTTTGAATTAAAAGAATTAATAACTAATTTTGTTGGGGTGTGTCGGCACAAGATTTTTGAAAATAAATGCCATTATGCGCAAAAAATTGCTGCATATTATTATTAACAAATTCCCCTCCTCCATCACTTTGAAAAATTTTAATTTTCTGATTAAAAAGATTTTCAACCAAAATCTTAAAATTTTTAAAGTGCATAAAAACCTCACTTTTGTGATGCATGGGGTAGATCCAAGTAAATCGAGAATAATCATCAATAAAACAAACATAATACTTGAAACCCAAATTAGAGGAAACTGGAGATTGCCATACATCAGAATGAATAATCTGTAAAGGAAGAGAACTAGTATGACTAGCATCTGTAAACGGTAAACGTTGAGATTTTCCTAAGCGACAGGCCACACAAGCATGAGTAAACGGAGTGTGATTACATAAAAATTGTTGACGTTTTAAAAACTGCAAAATAGTGTCACTACAGTGACCTAATCTACGGTGCCACACAGGGCCAGAAGCTAAAACAGAAGCTAAAACTAAAGGTTATGGTGACTGCAGACGGAGAGGATAAAGTGGTCCATTACTGGTGGTTCGAAGAAGCACTGCCCCCGTGGCTCGGTCCTTAATCAAAAAAGAATTTTTATCAAAAATGACAGTACAGTTGTTATCAGCACATAATCTTTGTATAGATATTAAATTATATTTTAACTGAGGCACATGATAAACGGATTTTAAAGTAAGGGGGCGACCAGATGAAGGTAACGCAACATCACCAATATGAACAATGGGTAAATGGGCACCATTAGCAACACTAACAGAATTAAAACCAGTGTAAGCAGATTTATTAGTTAAAATACCTTCTGTGGCGGTCATATGAGCAGAAGATCCTGAATCAGGATACCATAAAGCAGAGTTAGCTTCCCCGGGAGTAGTCAAAAGAGCTGGTGTAGACGGCGGAGTGAAGCAGGATGGACAGGTAATGGCAGAGTGACCTGTAGAGAAACAAATTTGACACACAACGGGATGGGGAACTGACCCAAGAATACCCCCATCTGATGATGAGCCTGCAGACACCAAGTTAGTAGCACAAACAGGTAAAGCATGCATATTTAAATGTGACACAGAAGAATTACGTGTAACAGTACCCGAAGAGTGTACACCCCCTGTCTGCGGAGCGTACCCGGCCGGAAGGGGAACACCACCTGCCCCAGCTGCAAACGTCGGCAGTTGGCCCTGCTGGCCGTACCAGATAAACGCCCACGGCCTCGACCGCCTCGTAAACGTCCTCCGCGGCCCCGACCACCACGTCCGCGCTGCCCCTGCTGCTGTGGTATGTACGCTGCTCGTGGACCCTGCTGCGGATGACCACCAGCCGGCTGCTGCTGGATACTGGGCTGCTGGGCGTGTGCACCAAAGGCCTGGTGGATAGATGTGTCCTGAGACCGGAGATAAAGAACTCTATGTTCTTGCTCTAGAAGGTGAATCCGCAAAGTCTCAAAGGGAAAATTTTGGGGAAACAATGACACTGTGGTAAACAAAGACTCATATTCAGGGCCAAGTCCCATAATAGTGGATTTTAGCAGTTCTCGCGGAGGAACAGGGCAGTTAATATTATTAAGGTCATCTGCTAAAATTTTAATCTCTCTTAAATAACTATCCATGGACTGATCAGGTTTCTTTTTAAGTTGAACCAACAGACGCTTTAATTCCATAGACCGTGCTAAACTAGCATACATGAAGTGAGATTCCAACCGTTCCCAAATTTCAGAGGAGTGTTTTAAATCCCGAACATCAATAAGAACATCTCGAGATAAAGTAGCAAATAGCCAAGAACGAATAGTTTGATCAATTCGTATCCAAGTAGAGAATTCGGGATTGGGAAATTGACGGTTGAGAAAATCTATGGAATAAGAAGGGGTACCTGAATTGAGCCATCAACCATGCCGAGAAGTCCTTGTGAGACCAAGAATGATTCAAACTGGGTTCGCCAGGCAGTATAATCTTCTACGGCCTGAAGTTTGGTTGTGACAATATTGGTGACATTAGTAGCCACATGGGATATGGTTTGGGCAAGGGCCGACAAGTTACAATCATTGTGGCTGGTACAGAAGAAGACACCCCAGGCGAGCGAACAAACGAAGGCCCACCAAACGTTCCAGCCATGAGAGGAGGCGGATCAAGTGAAACAGATGGCGCCGGAGAGGGAGCTGACCATGGAAAAACTGGCGGAAGCTGCTGAAACAGAGAGTATGCCCCAGAAGTCCGAGCTGGCGATGCGAGAAGAGAAGGAGACGCCGGAATCCATGGAACTGATTACTGCCGGCCTCGACCCAGCAGAAACAGGGGCGCCAGTTGTGGGGATGGGATTAGAAAATGTAATTTGCCCATCAATCTTGCTTCGGGTAAACATTTTTTATACACAAGTTTTTACATGCCCACCGATTTGTGCACATACATCCTCCGTTCTTTTTTAGTTGCAACAGTCAACATTTCACACTTGGAAACGCATATCTTTGACCGTATTTATATCTTAATCTCTATTGGTAAAAAATATTTAAAAATTAGATTTTGCAAATTTGTAATGAGATGAATTGAAAAATATACTCCCTCCGGTTTTATTTAATCTTCACACTTTGACTTCACACAAAATATGGAAAGAAATTTGACTTTACTGTAGAGCACACTGTTGAGGCACTGTTTGACACTGTTTGACACTATAGAGACACTGTTTGGCACTATTGAGACACTGTTTGACACTGTTTGGCACTGTTTTGATGTAGATTTCTTTGCCAGAAAAGGAAATAAGGAAGTGCGAAGTTTATTTTAGACCGTTCCAAAAAGGAAAATGTGAAGTTTATTAAAAACCGGAGGGAGTACTTTTAAAAAAATAATTTTCATAAAATAATAATATAAAATGTAGTCAAAGAAGTATATGTGAATGGTGTAAAATTCAACATGTTGCGATTAAAAAGAGATGAGAGATACTCCCTCCGTCCCACAAAGATTATCCAATTTTACCTTTTCGGGAAGTCCCACTAAGATTGTCTCATACCAAATTTGGTAAAGATTGTGTGGCTCTAAATCATTCTTACTTTATTCTTACTTTATCAATTTAATATCAAATACACAAACCCATTTTTCTTAATAATCGTGTCACCTTCTTCAGTCCCAATCTTAGTGGGACGAGGTAGTAATATTTTTTTCTAAAGCGGGTTATTCTTCACCGACAATTCTTTTTTATGTTCACGTGACCTTTCATGTTCTACTATTTCCTCGGGAGTCACGTGGTTCTACGTACACGCTCCCGCGTTTGAACCTTCCCTCCCTTCTGTCGTCCTCCTCCAGCAAGACGCGTTGCCATCACAAACCTCAGAAAAATGGCGTCGGCATTTCTTTTTATTGCTCGACCCCGGCGTTCATTTATTTCTGATCCGCGATCGGAATTCCTTGATTTCAGCCACTTATTATCATTCCCAAAGCGCTCTCTGTTAAGGTAACTATAAACTCTAGTTGTTTTAATGTTCTATTGCCCACAAGATGATGGATCTCCCTTGTGCTTTTGATTCTGTGGTATATTTTGAATTCCAATGTTCAATTTTCTTATCTTTGTTTGCTTCTTTGTTAAATCCACCGTATTTTTAAATCTAAATTCTGATGCTAGGGCAAGATGAGAAATCAATGGTTGCTGGATTTGCAAAATCACCGAGGATAAAATTTATTTTCCCCAAATCAGTAAAGAGATAGAAATGCAGATACATTGGTTATACTGATGATAAATGTTATTATTTCTTACCATTAGAAGCTCAAATAGTTCTCCTGATTGCAGGCCTGAACCACATATCTGCATTGCTCCAGTTGATCTTGGCCAAACTGCTTAGCTTAATAGAAAGGGGTGAATTGTATGTCGTTATACTTAGTATCAATGTGTGTGATTATTTTGAATGTAGAGACCAAAGGAATGCGGAAACTTGTGCACCTCGAAACAACTTAGGGGGAGTTTGATTTTCTGAATGTGAGGTAGCAGAGGTAATATACCGTCGTTATATTACATCCCTCGGGTTTGGATTACAGCTATTCTATTTAGAGTTCTAAATAGCGCCCATTAAGCAGGTTCACGGCAACAGGTTTGGGCCTAGCATAAGGTTTTGTGCTGTGATGGCCCATGGAGGGATGAGTTGTCTTATGGAGAGATATGAATTAGGAAGGCTACTTGGCCAAGGTGCGTTTGCTAAGGTATACTATGCCAGGAGCATCATAACCGGACAAAGTGTTGCCATTAAAGTCATTGACAAGGAAAAGGTTTTGAAGGTTGGATTGACAGATCAAATCAAACGGGAGATATCCGTTATGAGGCTTGTGAGGCATCCTAACATCATTTTACTCTATGAAGTCATGGCCACCAAAACCAAGATTTATTTCGTGATTGAATTAGCCAAAGGTGGTGAGCTTTTCAACAAGCTGGCTAAAGGAAGGTTAAAAGAAGATGTTGCACGGAAATATTTTCATCAGTTGTTAAACGCGGTTGACTTTTGTCATAGTCAAGGGGTCTATCATCGTGACTTGAAACCCGAAAATTTACTCTTAGACGAAGATGGAAACATGAAAGTCTCTGATTTTGGTTTGAGTGCTCTTGCTGAATCGAAGCGCCAAGACGGGCTTCTTCATACCACATGTGGGACACCTGCCTATGTGGCGCCTGAGGTCATCAACATGAAAGGGTATGATGGCGCAAAATCAGATATATGGTCATGTGGGGTCATCTTATACGTGATGTTAACCGGGTATCTTCCATTTCATGAATCAAATTTGATGAAAATGTACCGAAAGATTGGAAAAGCCGATTTCCGATGCCCGAATTGGTTCCAACCAGAGCTTCGGAGGCTACTTTTGAGAATGTTGGATCCTAACCCCTCTACTAGAATTTCTATTGCTAGAATTCGAGAGCATCAATGGGTTAAAAGGGGAATGAAATCTCAATTTGATCATGCTAGATATGAAAAACAAAAATCACTGAGAGTATTGAGTTTCAATGCATTTGATTTAATCTCTCTTTATTCTGGCTTTGACTTGTCAAGGTTATTTCAAGAAACTTGTTTGGAGAAAGTGTACTATATCACTTCCTCAAAACCTCCATCCACCATCATAAACAAACTGGAAGACATTGCAAAAAGTCTGAAGCTGAATTTGACCAAAAGAGATGCAGGAGTTTTGAGGTTTGAAGGAGCCAAGGAAGGAAGAAAGGGGACATTGTCCATTGATGCAGAAATCTTTGAGCTCACTCCTGCTATTCATTTGGTGGAGTTAAAGAAATCCAACGGGGATTTGCTAGAATATGATCAGATAATAAATGATGGCATAAAACCTGTACTAGAAGACATTGTATGGGCCCCACAGCAACTGAAACTGGCCACAATGGAATAAAACCTTGATTCTAATACAATTACGGAAATTCAATTAAGTGCACACACCTTGTATATTGTTATGGGCCACCGTCACTAATGTGTTTTTTATTTACCATAATTTTTCTTGAGCTATCCTAGGTAAGTAGGTGTCATCTTTAACAAACGCTGATTGTTTGTACTTTGTACAGGTTATATATTTTTGTAGAATTATAGACTCTCATGTCCATTTATCTAATAACCCTCTTTAATGTGCAATGGAAGGAATTTCATTTCTCCAATAATTCGAGTGCATTAACACACATACTCTCAATTCTTTTACTCTTATAATATGTTTCTGAAACAATATGAATGATTGAGTTTACGTCAAAGAGATTATTGAGAACAAATAGATTAATGAATTCTTAGATATATTTTATGTTGCTGTAGATTGAAGATGGAGTTCATGGTCGTCATCTTTGATTTTCTTTTTGTTTTTTTGTTGGTTTTTAAGCAGGTGGTCAATTTATCCACACACAACCTTGGGTTTAGAAACTTTTATCTAAAATATGGGTGGACCGGTTCCGGTTCGGGCCCGGTTCGGGCCTCAGTTCAGAAATGGGAGGCCCGGAACCGGCCCGGGTAATCCCGGGTCCGGGCCGGGCCTCGGTTCTATTTTTTTTTTTTTGGCTTTTCCTAATTAACCCCCAACCCTCCCCCCTCACCCCCCAAACCACCTCAAATAGCCCAAAATACCAAGCCCAACCCAAAAACTTAAAAAAAATTCAAAAAAAAAAAAAAATAATTTGGCCCGAACCGGGCCCGAACCGGCCGGGCCGGTTCGCCAATCAAAGGGCCCGGGCCCAAACCGCATGGTAACCGGCCCGGGCCGACCCGAACCGCCCCCCGGACCGGTTCCCGGGCCGGGCTGGTTCAAACAGTAACCGGGCCGGGCCGCCCGGCCCGAGTCCATCCCTAATCTAAAAGGTATTGTAATGTGTGTATAGTTTTTCAGATAAGCAGCTTGTGGATCATTTGAGTTGTGAACTACTAAGTATTTAAAAGTCGGTATTTTTCTTATAATTGGTGATAGATAGATGGATAGTAGTACTTGAAAGCTTGATACTATAAAAGTTGTGTACTATTATTATAAATAGATTTTCACATTCTATACGAGCTTATGCTGCAGGCTTTGGGGGTAAAGAAAACAAGGATGATTGGTGTGAAATTTCATATGGAGGATTATAGATTTCTAGCAATCATTCTGTCATTGATGAGATAATATTTCAAAACTTATATTTTAATCTATTTTTTACACCCCCTCCCAAAATATGTGATATTCAAGCATGTTTCACTCGGTTGGTCATGAAGCTTGTTTCTGTTTCACTCGGTTGCTCACAAAGCTTGTTTTACATAAAGAAAGGTTCTTCTTGATGAAAATTTTCAGAATGCAGAAAGAGCAATGCAGCTACACCTGAATGACCTGCTGCATGATTTGGTCGACCAATGTACTTCTCTCAACGTTTGGGACATCAAATGCTTCATGTGTTTTTTTTTTGAGTACAAATGCTTCATGTTTTTTGAATGCTTTATGTGCCGCTTCAAGTCATCTCGAGTGATGCATTCTAAAGTTTTTGATCTTTGGGTTAAACAAGCTATCGAAGTATGAAACATAAATATGGCAAGTCTGTTTCTTAAAACAAGAGCAAAAATCTTAATATGGATGGAAGTCATGGAACCCAAATCTTTTTAGGGTAACTATATTATTTCTTCATTCACCTATTTTTCATTCTGATATTGATATATGTCACCTATTCAATTTAGAAAACATCCAAGTTCCCAAATATTTTTTGTTTACCGGTTTTCTGTTATTAGTTTTATTTTTGTGATTTATTATTATAATAATAATAATAATAATATAATTGATTTGACAATTTTTAAAATATACGGAGTATATGATATTTTATTAACTATTTAGAAAATCTCATGACAATTTCGCATGTAATAATCTCCTATGTAAGAATCCAGCTATGTCTTCGTTTCCAACTTCACAAAGACCCAAATTCCTCCCGTAGAACTATTGCTTTAAATATTCTATTTTGCTTGAGTAATTAACTATGTTTAAGTCCTGATAAATTCATTGCTTTTCTGCCCACCTGTCATAGTTTGCGATATAAAAATAGGAGATTGTGGTCAAGGGAATTTTAAGTGAAATAATAATGTATTCTATCAGGGTAAATGCTCTGTAGGAAACATAAACAGATCATGAGTTGCCAGCTTCTAAGTTTTAAGTTCTATGAACTTGATATGGTTGAGTAGCAGGTACTAGGTGAGTGTTTTCTGACTAAGTAACATAGCTTCTATCTAAAGTGACACACTATAACATATCTTGACATATGATTCTCTACCAGACATTCCAATGCCTGTAGAAAGAAAAAAAGGAGACCAATGCAAATGTTGGAGGTATTGGCCCTACCAAGGCCTCCCTTCCACTTTATTTGATGAGGCTTGCACCCTATTGTTTTACTCCCACTTTGGTACCTTTACCTTGGTATTTTATCTGATCAATAATATACCTGTTTGAGGGTTGACTTACCCACTTGGCTGGCCCCTTTGTGTTCTGTCCGCTGCATCCACCTTGTCTTGGCCTATACATGTGACTTTGCCTTGTCTTTGTAGCATGTGAGTGTTTGTTGTTTTGACCTCACCCGTGACTTCTCTTCTAGCTGGCAGCCTAGTATTTGTACCCCTTGCTTCTCCCTTTGTGAAGCAGCCTGCGAGTGATACCTTCCTGAGAGCAGTGCTCTCCTTCTCTTTCCCTTTGTGTGAGAACTGAGAGGGACTTAGTGGTGAGATAAAAACTTAGAGTTGTGCAAAGTCTCCCCTAAAGTGGTGTGTGAGAGTGTGTAGAAAGACCTGAGCCGGAGACGGAAGTATACGATCCTTACAGTGGTATCAGAGCGAGGTTCGCCGTCTGCCGCCGTACGCCGCCGTCTCCGCCGATTGGAGCTTGAAATCGATTTCTTACTGAAGTTCGAAATCTCGTTCGCAGCTCTCTGCCTGAGTGCCCGTCGTTATTTTTCCGGAGGTCACAGAACAGAGACATAGCTCGCTGCATCGAAATCACCGCCTGGAGATCAAGTCTGCCGCGGTGGTGCTAAAATCGTCGCCGGAGTTTTCTGCCCTTTCACCGGAGGGACCCGTCGCTTGGAAGCTCGTCGCTGAAGCTCGACGCCGCAGGGACGCTCGCCTCAGGAAAGCTCGTCGCCGGTGTGCTCGCCTCTGGAACTGCTGGTCGCCGGTGTGCTCGCCGGCCATCTTCCGATTTCCTTCGTCACAGGCCTCGCGTAGATGATACATAAGTAGCAGAGGGCTGGCCATTCTCGCGTAGATGGAATACAGGGGACCGAGGCTGCTTGGACTGCTGGAGCAGTCTAATTTAGGCTCTGGGCTATAGGGCCTGCTTTTGGGCCGCTGGAGAAGTCCGCTGGGTTGCTATTTTGGACTCCTGGAGCTGGTTGCTGTTTTTGGGACTGGGCTGGAGCTGGAGCTTGGACCGGGCTGAAGTTGCTGACTTGGACTGTTGGAGGTGCTGGACCACCAGTCAACCACCGGTCAACCACCGGTCAACGCCAGTCAACGCGGGTCAACGGCAGTCAACTTTCCAGAAAAATCCCAATTTTTTTTTTAAAATTGGGTAGGTAAGGTCGAAACGCTCTCCTAGGGTTTCGCGAAGGTAAGTTTTCTGTAAACTTCCTATTTGTTATATTCCGTTTTTTTAAATTTAATTTTAATTTTATTCCCCCTCCCCGCGGGCCGCCGGTTGATTTAATCCCGGCCGCCAACCCCCAGGTACGATTTCTAAACTCACCCCTTTGTGGTAGTTTGTTTTAGTTGATGAATTAAATTGCTTTGTGTTATTTAATTTAATTGTTATGCGTAGTGGTGATTTATTGGGTGGTAGGGGTAGAATTAATTAAATTTAATTTTTCTGCCCGGAATTGTTTAATTGCCATTATGTCCATTTTTGCTATGTGTTGTATGCTGCCCGGGGTTATTAAAGTGAATACTTTATAACCCGGGTTGGATTATTTTCTGTCATTTCTGTCTGTTTAGCTTTGTGTTCCTTTTGTGGTTGATACCATGGCTGCGAATCAGTATGGTATGCTTCCATTTAATGGAAAAACAGATTTTGATATTTGGAAACAGAAAATAAAGTGTGTTTTAATACAACAAAAAGTTTTCAGAGCTGTTACTGGTATTTTCCTTGAATCAGAAGATAAGGCTAAGCAAATTGAAATGAACGAAATTGCTTATTCTACTATTTACTTGAATCTGTCTGATTCTGTTCTTAGGAAAGTGGGTATTCTTGAGTCCGCTAAGGAGTTGTGGGAGAAATTGGATAGTCTCTATACTGATACCTCTTTGCCCGGGAAGTTGTTCTTACTAAAGAAATTCTTTAGGTTTAGGCTTGACCTGACTAAGGATATAGATGAGAACCTGGATGTGTTTAATAAACTGATACAGAATATCAAACAGGCAGGTGATAAACACATAGATGATTATACTCTCATAGTGTTACTTAATGCCATTCCCGACTCTTATAATGATGTTAAGTCCGCTATTAAGTATGGTAGGGATGAGATTTCGTTAGATATTGTTGTGAATGGGTTAAGGAGTAAGGAATTAGACCTGAAGCATGCTAGGGGTAGTGCTAGTCAGTCCAGGGACTCCGGTGAGGCTATGTTTGTTAGGGGTAGATCTAAGGGTAGGTCTAAGAACTCTAAGCAAAATAGTCAGGGTAAGAACACTAATCAGCCTGGGAGGAAGAGGAGTAAATCTAGGAAGAGAGTGTGTTACAATTGTGGTAACACTGGCCATTTCATTAAGGATTGCCCTCACCCTAAGAAGACCGAGCATGTTAGTGTAGCTGTTGATAAATGTGACCTTGGTGATATTTTGATGGTTTGTGACCATGTTAATTCTGTGAGAAATTCCCTGTCTGAGCATGAATGGTTGATTGACTCTGGTTGTACCTATCACATGTCCCCCTTTAGAGATTTGTTTTCTACTTATGAATTATGTGATAGTGGCTACGTTTCCTTAGCTGATAATAAGAGATGCAATGTGCTTGGTGTTGGTGATATTTGTCTGAAATTTTCTTGTGGCTCTGTGTTTACCATTAAGAATGTGAGGCATGTCCCTGATTTGTGTCATAACTTGTTATCTGTTGCTGCTTTGGAGAGTAGTGGGTTACAGGGAAAATGGGGGAATGGTTGTATGAAAATCCTGAGAAACTCGCTTGTTTTGTTTAAAGCTGAGAAGGTGAATAACCTTTAT